ACCACGACCTCGACCTTGTTGACCGCGACCCCGACCGGTTCTGCCTCCTCGATGCGGCTGTTGTCCCCCTGATGAAGGTGCAACCATATGACCCCCTTGCGACGATGATGCTGTAAAGGCCGGTGTACCAATGCTGGATTCCAATTTTTGTTGATATTGGAGCCGAGCCTCTTGATGTACAAGTTTAGTGCAAAGTTTGTCAAACGTAAGACCTTCAGGAAACAGAGTAAGGGGTCCAACAAGTGACTCATAACCCGGACTCAATCTCATAAGAGCATAGTGCGGGAGATCATGATTAGCAACAGGGGAATTAATAGATGCTAAATTTTCAGCAATGGTCCAAATTTCGCCCATGTATTGATCCATGGTTTGGTTAGGCTTTTTCTTGGTATGAGTTAACATTTGTTTGAGTTCCATTGATCTGGCCAAACTGGCTGCCATAAATCGGGATTCTAATTTTTGCCATATAGCAGTCGAATTTTTCTGAGAATGAACCTCCATCAGAATATGCCTAGATAATGTAGCGAACAACCATGAACGAACCGTTTGGTCCAGTTTCAGCCAGTGGTAGTACTCGGGATTAATATTCTGGATTTGATACAAGTCATATGAATAAAGAGGTGGTGCCGGAAGGGGAGCCATCAAGAATACCCAAGAGCTCGTTTGAGACCAAAAAGGACTCAAACTGAGTATGCCAGGGTAAATAATCTTCAACTTTACACAATTTGATGGTGACAATAGTAGTGATGGAAGAAGCACCAAAACCCATACCTTGAGCAAGAGTAGCAAACAACGTGGGCAACGTTATAGTAGGAGGTCGAGTGCCTACCCAGATGTCCAGAGAGAGTGGTCCCGGCGAAGCGTTGACTGTCGGTGACGCTAAATTCAGGTATGGCGGAATTGTGGGACGACAACGGGTGGGTGGTGGGATTCGTCGGAGTCCATGTAAATATTGGAGGTATCCATGCGGCTGAAAAATCGGAGTGAGGGACCGAAGAAAAAGGCTGCTCATTGTGGATCAATGGCGCCACGCTGCTGGTCGGAAAAACCGTGGAGGTTTCCACCGCGTTGGGACTCGGAGAATCGGTCACCATAATGGAATCAGTGGTGGTGCCGATAGGCATGGTGACAGCTGCAGAAGTATTTTGAGAGGCCATCGAACCGAAAAAAATTAGTAATTGGCTAAAAACCTAGAGCTCTCGATACCATGTGAGAATAAATGAGAGGCTTACCAATGTGGTAGACCTAGATGTCATATATATAATAAGAGGTGTTCAGAGTACATTAGGAAACATAAGAAATATGGAAACCTAATTAAAGTATAATTACTCTATTACTCCTATGACGGCAAAGCAATACAAAGTATATATTACGGCAAAAAATTGCTCTTCTCCTCTGAAGACAGCAAAGCAAGTGATTTTGAAGACTCCATTATGACTGCAAAGCAAAAATTCTCTTTTCTCCTTGTACGTAGTATATAAGAAAACAAAATCTGCTCTCCATCTAAATTAAGAAACAGGTTAACTTAAAAAAAGAACAGGTTAGCTTCTACAATAGATATACGTAGTATATTATATTCGAAAATTGTATCTTTAGGTTTGAATTATATTCTGAGATTTGATGTTTAGTTGAATTTAAAAGTCATGTTTAGTGACTTTCTAAGAATTATTTCTAGTATTTGATTAAGTAGAATAGTAATTTTTTAGTGATTAATCCTTTTCTAGTTGCTTCAAATGAAATTACAATTTTGTAGTGATTAATCACTTTGCAGATGATGATCTAGTTGCTCCACGGTAATCAAAAGTTCTTTGGCACGTTGAATGAGCTATTCTCTGAACATTTTACCTGTAAACTTATTTGACAACAAACAATGTAAAGCGTCTGCGTGTAATTCAAAAATAGATTACACACATGACCAACCGGTGTATTTCTATTTTACATGTAAACTATTTTACGGTTCTAAATTTGTAAAATATTTTACGGTTCTAAATTTTAATGTGCAAACTGCAAACTACCGGGCAAACAATCATTATTAAGGGTTGATTTAAGCATGCCATAAATGAATGTAACAAAAAATGTAGCGGTAAAAAATTCATCTAGCTTTACTCTAAGATAAATACTCGTATTGAAGAATAGGACATGACCTGCACAGTTTTCTAAAAATTCAAAGCTAATCCCACTTTCCCAAATCATAAGAGCTGTACTTTTTTCAATGAGCCGATCGAAATTAAATTAGTGGTGTCACAGTAATATTTATAGAATAAGAAATTAAAATCATTAAGGTCTCAAAATTAAACATGAATGTTACTACGTATAAATTTGATATAAATACTAAGAGAACAATATTGTGAGTTGTGACACATGAATATCTAGTCATTTACAAACAATTCCATGGTCAATCATATAAGCAGAAAATTGAAGACTAAATTATGATGATGAGATATATCATATCGGAACATCAAATCTGTTAATTCATCTGCCATTCGCATGTATCTGCTCAGTCATATCACTAACAGATACATTATCCTCCACTCTTTTTAATTAGTACTCGTTATTGAAGACTAATTAGTACGGGTGATAAAACAATTTAATTTTGTTAACATTCTGATTATTATTTTTTTTGAAAAAAACATTCTGATTATTTTTAATAAATAAAATTTACATATTCAGAAACTACACTAAAATCGTTAAAAAGCATGATAAAAAAAATATAAAATTGATAAAAAAAATTGATATATAAAGTAAAAGATTAAAAATGATTTAAGTTGACCATGTGAATAGTGGACGAGTACCTTATGAAAAATGATAATAAAAAACAGTCGAATGAAAAAAACGGACTGATGAAAAAAAATATGAATGATGACACTTCAAGATGAAGTGTCTGATCGTAAAGAGGAATATTAATTAACTTCATACTCAATATAAAAATTACAGTAATATTTAAGCAGTAAGAATATTGAGCATTATATATTGTCATAGATATACCTGCTGGCAACAGGTGTGCAGATTTTCTTGCTAACTTGGCACACTCAGCTCCGAGGGGACTAACTATTCTACAATCACCTCCTATAGGCCTCGAAAAGATCCTTTGGGAAGACGCAAATGACAGAATTCCTGAGATTGTACAAAAAAAAAGTAGATATACCTGCTGGTGAGCCCATGGAGCCACAGAGCATAAAGCTGAAACCACCAGCGCAGCTATGGATCAGAGGCAGTAAATACAATATAAAAAGACAGGCTTACACTATATAGTGTGTAAAAAGAGAGGCGGTTTCTCCGGCAACTTGTTTCCTCAGATTCTATTGCAGCAAACCTCAGTCAGATGTATGCAGCGATTTTTTGGTTATTCACCGACCGAAACATTTATTTATAGGCAAATTCTCTAATACCTCATGTCCTCAATATATGTATCATACGATAGTACTTTGTTTATATGAATCCATTAGAATATTACTTCCTCCGTCCCCCAATTAAGTTCTCAATTTACTTTTTGGACAGTCCATAAATTAAGTTCACACTTCAATATTTTTCTTATTTGACAAATTATCTATATCAAAGCAGTGACAAACAGTTCCAAACAGTGTCAAACAATGTTTAAACAGTGCTAAACCGTGCACTCCACAGTAAAGTAAAATTTATTTTCTTAATATGTGTGAAGTCAAACCAGGAACTTAATTGGGGGACGGAAGGAGTACAATTAAATAATTTAAACATAAATGATGAAATAATGGTTGAGATCAATAAAATGAATTATAGGTAGAATGCCCTCGCTTTTTATGGCCATAGCAATTACCTTATTTATATACATATAATTCACTAGGGAATGACAAAAATACGAGAGTTTTGTGCCTGACGTGCAAAAACACGGGAGTTTGTTTTTTGGTACTAAAACACGGTATTCGAAACGTGCCATTCTGAACGATATTGGGTTTTAAATGCAAAAATGGAATGGAGTACAAACGACCTCGGGTACACCACGAGCCTTTTCCCTTTGATTTGAGCTTCATTTGGACGAGATCTGGCCGGAATCGGACCACTTGTTTCGTGATGTTGCCGTTCGTCGATTGCTGCAGAGGGAAGGGGGAGGGCAGATTAGTTCGTCGTCTGGGAAGAAAGGGGTATGTCTACGGATAAATGAGCCGCCACTCGAAGTGACGGCTTTTGTATTACTATAGAAGAGCCGCCACTCGGACTGGCGACTTTTGTAAAGATAGATGAAGAGCCGCCACTTGGAGTGGCGGCTTTGCTTAACCATGGTTAACCCAACAGTAATTCGGGAATTATTCTTAACCCAGCAGTATTCTGGGAATTATTTATTTAATTAGCATTATTCCGGGAAAAAACTCATATCATATAGCCTTTTTAGTCATTCCTGCACAAACCCAATTCATTCGGAAAGGAGTCTTCTGAATACCGCTATCCTAGAAACCCTAGAATAATTCCCATAGTATTTTTGCACTGCATGTTAGGTTTTCCCGTATTCCTAAAAAACATCCTTCTTTATTTTAATTAGGGACAAGTACAAAAAAATACGCGTGATTGTGCGCATTTTCACATAAAGGCAACTTTAATTTTTTACAAGGTAGGACATGTGCTTCCAATTTGAGGTTTCTGTTTAAACTCGGTCAGAAAGAGGGTGACATGTCACTTTTTATACATCCGTATCGCCTTCTTTCTGATGGAATTAGGCGGAAACTCTCAAATTGAAAGCACATGCTTCATTTTATGAAAAATGAACCTTATGCCCCAAAATGCGCACAATCACAACCACAAGTACTTTTTTTTGTACCTAATGCCTATTAATTAATCAAAATTGAAATGGACAATTTAAATAGCAGTCCCGTCGGCCATGCATGTAATTCAAGAAATGGATATATGGATGATATGCATGTAACATGAATCAAATATGTAGTATAAATAATAAAAATTCAGTCCAACAAGACATAGAAGAAAAAATGGAAAATTGACATAATATACATATTATAATTAATACGAAGTGATGAAATTAAACAAAACTTTACTGTATATTGAGTGGAAATATATAATTATAAATTAATTATAATACGGAGTAATGTAAAGGGCTTCCATTTACACATGAATTTACTCCGTATATAAATGTAATAATTATAATATTAATTGTAATAATAAGGGAAATGTGACAATTATAATTATCATCAGGTCGATGAGATATCCAAATCTAGGGACATGGAGGCCGAGGACGGCGACTTGTGGGGCTTATTATTACCAACAGGTTGCAGTTCTTGATTGTCATCGCCGTCGTAGCTGCCTCCGCAAGGCCATAATTGAAGGGAAGTGGCCGGAATTGTGGTTGTTGATGTGGTGTTGGAATTGGGGGAAGTGGCGGCGAAGGAAGAATCGTCCGAAATAGGGCAGTCCATGTTCACCCCGAACAGCCTCAGCCGCTTTGCTGCCGCCTTTCCTTGGACCACCGGCACCGACTCAAACACCACCCCACCACCACCACAACCTCCTATCTTTTGCATCATTTCTTGCTGGCTCGCGGCGGTGATTATTGGCCTAAAATAAATCCCTGATGATGATATTCCCGAGCAAGGGTTTCCATTCACCACCACAGCACCGCCTCTAGGACCGCTGACGCCGTTTAATATCACAGAATCATGGGCGGTGGTGCTGTTCCCGCGGAATCCGTAATTCCTGTACCCGTAAGACGGCTGCAGCGGGGAGAACAAAGCACCAGGGTTCCAAGCTGCCGCTGCCCCCGCTGCAGCGGGGTAGTGGTGTTGATGATGAATGGCGGAGCGTTGGAGGGGGGATAGGTGGTGTGGGAAGGAGACAATTGAGGCGAGATGATGGTGGCGGTGATGATGAAGGTTGTTGGAGGAGTATTGGGAATCCGGGCGGCGCCTCCAGTCGATGAAAAGCCGGTCTTTCGCAGACTCGGAGGCGCCGCGCAGGAAAGAAACGACGTCACCCGCGTCGAGCTTCTTTTCCTTGACGAACCGGCTCCAGCCTTTCGTCATCACATAGCTTTGGCTGCTGTTCCAATAAGAGTACCGGAACCGCCATGGCTTGCCGTTCCGGTCCTCGAAGTTGAGCAGAAGCCCTTTCTCGTTGTTGGAGGAGTCTAGCGGAAAATACTTCTCGGCGTGCTGCTTGGGAATCACCAGCCGGTTCAGCTTCCCCACATCGCTCGGCGTCACCACCTTATCAAACATATGTTCCTTCTCCATCGCCACCCCGCCCCCGCCACAACTACCCGCCACAGCCGCGGTGTCATCGACTTCACTAGCATCATCATGAGTCCAAGAATCAATAACCATCTTCATAATTACCTCTTCCCTATCTCCTCCTCCTCGACCTCCTAACAAAACCCCGCCATAGGAAAAAGAAGACGAAGGTCGAGAAAATGGATGCATACCTATGTAGCTAGCTTGATCTTAGCTCGTTCGAGAAGAAGAAATTGAAGAATTGAAGATGAAACTAAATTAAGTGATCATCACTTGCCTGGCCAATCAATCTAGTATAGCATCCTGTTAGATCTACAAATAAAAGGTGCACAAATATAATTTTCCACAGCTAGGGTTTAGAGCACAAAGAGAGAGTTGGGAATTTTTCTGGTTTTCGAACAATTGGGATCTGAGAAAGGTAATCAAGCCTAAATGTATATAGCAGTGATGAGGTGCGGATGGAAGCTAACAATGAATAAAGCTGAGCTATTATATACATAGTATATTCTCATAATAATAAACTGAAATGTAGGTACCAGAAAGGTAACTATAATGCAGGTTTGGTTCATAAGTTTCATCTTCTTTTTCTTTTTCTTTTTCGGTACACTCCAAAAAATTGAAAGAAAACACTGTTTTATTTCTTCTCTCTATACTTCGATTCCCCCATCTCTAATTGTTGACCTTAATCTATCCCTCGTAGTGTGATGTTCTTAATTAAGTTAGGTAAGTTGTACGAGTTTTGAATTTATATATTCTTCCCTTGATCAATAACACAGTATTGAAAATGGCATGGCATGGGTCACCTTCAATTCTTTGGCATGACCTAGTAGTATAGGGTGGGTGTGGTACCTGAGGGTGGGCCCACGAATTATCTGCTGGGCTCATGTGAACTCTCAGCAGCTTAATATCTATGATGAATACTCGCATTCATGTATGATAGTGGTGACGTGTCATAAAACATTATTACTCCCTTCGTCTCTAAATTATAGTCTCACTTTTCTTTTTTTGGATGTCTTTAAGTAAAGTCATACTTCCTTATTTGGTAAACAAATATGGAGTATATATCAAGACAATACAAAACAGTGTAAAAATAGTGTGTAATAAAATTTACTTCTCACTAAATTTATTTATTTAATATATTTGAAGTCAAACTAGGACTTTAATTAAAAGACGGAGAGTACAATATATAAGACTGTAGATATCTGTATGTGATTATATACATAATACATGCACCATGGTTTGTTATGTCTAGATATGAACCACAATTCCTTTTATATAACTGTCTCCTTGGTTCTGGAGGTTCTCAGAGACACGGTGTAGAATTTCAAACCACTTTAAAGGGAAACAGTATATATAGCGCTCCAATCGTAACTTGCATGCATACCTTAAGAGCTAGATGATACGATTCTTCTCATTCTAACCACAAGTTAATTGTGGCAAAGATTTAGTTTTCCTTTTTTTAATTTTATGCATGCTCTTCGTGCTTGATTTCTATTTCTTGATTATATTTTATCAATGCTCTATCCTAGCCTAGGTAAGAAGATTTAAGCTTACTAAGCCAAATTGTTGATTTAAATTGTCACAAATGTTTCTAGAGCACTAAATTGGAGACTTTATGTTATATATGTGTGCTTTATTTTATACAAATGATAGTTGGATTTTAGATAGTTTGGAGAGCAATGTGCCTAGATATGCAGGAAGTAAAAGTCATAGGAGCCTGCTACTTGTACACATTGTTTGTACATTTTTTGTGTACACACGCCTAGTTGCCTGTGTGCACAAGCAGCTTTTGAACGAGCTGCGTGTGTACACAAACAACTAGGGTGTGTACAAAAAAAAGTGTACAAATAACTTTTTCCAAAGTTATAACTTATAAGATTGGAAGGGGTGTAGATATATTGCATCTAGAACGTCTTTATATGATTAATTACATGGCGCTTGAAAGCAAAGTAGTGTTCAAGGAATTCTGAAAAGTTACTTGAAATTACAAGTGAATACCACACTTGGTACAATTAAGTTGAAGCAATAGTAATTAAGTTAAAAAGTTACTCCGTATTAAACTTGTACCATTCATTGACAAATATAATTAATTCAGTTAGCATGGAGTGGTATTTAGTTACTTTTCTGCCATGTGGTCCAAACCAGGCCAGCTGTTTTTAAAGCACAAGCCTCTCTATTTCCATTGGTTTCAATTTTAATTTACCGGACTAAATTCTTACTATGGCCTCCTCCGTCTTATTAATGCATCACGTTTTAGAAATATTATACGTAGTGTCGTAGTATGACTAAGGAATTGGATAAAATATGGTATATAAAGTTTTAAAATATGATTAAATGTATTTTAATTATTTCAAAATATGATACGGAGTATATATTTAGTCTAAATAAAATAGTAAAACTGCTCAAAACAAGAGTGATATGTCATATTCTGAGAAGAAAAATATAACGACTAATACAATATTGTTATTCCATATGCATATATTTGTAGAGAAAAGTGAAAGGTGGACTGAGAAAATGATATAGGATTAAACATTGATCATCCCCTCATTTATAGTTCAAATGCATGTGGGCCGAGCTATTATTTTGGATCTAGTATCTCCAATTAGATAAAAGGTTAATATTATTGAAGACCAAATCCGTATAATACTGAACATATGTACAGTGGCGGACCCAGGAAATTGATATTGGGGGGCGATAATTTAAACAAAAAAAATCTAGGCGATTATTATTATAAGTTATAACCTTAATATAATACGGAGTAGTAATTAAATGAAGCATTATAATAGAAGAAGAGACAAATATATCATTACAAAATAGTTACAGTTAGTACCTTAGAATTGTACCTAACGCTTCTTCAACGAGATAAATTCCTCAATCACGGCTTTTTAGTCAAAAGTTTTAGCAATTTCTCTTTCAATATAAACAATAAGGTTGTCTGCAACATACTCATCCTCCATTTTATTGCGAAGCCTTGTTTTTATAATTTTCATTGCGGAAAAAGTTCTTTCAGTTGTTGCTGTCGAAACCGGTAGAGTCAACAAAAGTCGGATCAATTTATCAACAAGCTAAGAAAGTACACTTTTGACATCTCCGTCTCCGCTAATCTTTGACAAAGTTCACCCATTGTAGAAAAATTCGTCAACTTTGGATGGTTTAGAACATTGAGCTTATAATGTTGCAATTGAAACCTCAAGCTCACCTTCTCCTGCTCAATAAAATCAAAGGGGTAATATTTATCCACTAAAGAACAGATATCATCAATGTTAAAAGACTTATATGAGTCCTTAGGATCCAAAGCACCACTAAGAGTAAGAAGATCCATTATCTGTTCACCGAATTTGCTATTCAGCTTCAACAATTATGAATCTATGGTTGCGTAAAACATATCAACCCGATAGTGACGTTCAATATCAAACCCTTCTTGATCATGGCGTTTGCGTTTTACCGCATATGGAGACTTCATATTAGGAACTTCAATTTCATGCTTTGTGCAAAACTCTTTAACAATTTCTAAGAAGTTATCCCATCCACCCTCCCTTAACTTTTGGATCAACATTTCGGTGCTTGACACCAAATGCATAGCATTTACTATGTCTTGGCACTTCTTCTGTATATGCTGACATAGAAAATCTGTAATGCCCATAATTTCTTTAATAAGATGCAACAAGAAAACAAAATCAAAAGATTTAATCTTCTTAAGTTCTCTAGCTGCATTTCCACGAGTAGAATAGTTATTGTCATTCTCTTCAACATCTTCTAAAACAGAACAAGTTGCAGCAAACATCCTAATCAAACTGCAAACAGAACTGAAATGTGAGCTCCAATTAGTTTCTCCAGCTTGTTGTAATGTACCAACCTAATTAAGTCCTCTGCTTGTTTCAAGCTCACCAATTTCCAACATTCTTGCAATTTCAAGTGCTTGAGCTTCCTTTAATTCATCACTTCGTTTGCAAGAAGAATTAATCACATTAATAATAAAGACTGAATCGATGAAAAAATTGTGCACATATTTCACCTCTCTAGAAGCAGCAACCAATGCTAATTGCAACTGATGTTCTAGGCAATGAACATAGTAGGCATAAGGACAATCATTTAAAAATAATCGATCTTTCCATTTCTTTCTTCTAGGTGCGCATGTTTTTCATTAGTTTGGTCTGGGCGGTGGGTTGGGATCAGATTTTGAGGTGGGTTAATGGGGAATAAATTTTGGACTGAGTTGATATAATATTACTTGTAAAATTTCTATTTTTTAGGCTCTTAAACAATTGGGTTTCTGCGAGTGGGCTATGCTTTGGGAGAGAAAATATTTTTTGGGGGGGTTCAAAATTTTTATTGGAGGGGCGAGAATTAAATGTTGGGGGGTAAAAATAAAAATTTGGTATATATATATACTAAAAAAAATTGTTGGGGGGGCGGCAGCCCCCCTGGGTCTGTACTACGGTCCGCCCCTGCATATGTAGACCGTTGTTCAAGTCTAAGAGCATCTTCAATTCTAAAACGTTAACGGTGCATACGTGGCATGAGAAATAACCAATTAAAAAACAATACATAGAATATCTCTCTCCTTATTTGAAGGATCTTGCATCATTTTGGTAAGTTTTTCTTTACAATGTCAAACACAATGTCTAGATGTAGACATTGTGGCTGACATTGCAGAGAAAAACTTACTAAAAACACATAAGACCGTGGAGAAAAGGAGAGAGAAATGTCATAAAATTAATATTTTGTGTCTATATCTCTCATGCCACATGTGCACCGTGCACATTGTGGCATTGGAGATGCTCTAATAGTGATAAGATCGGAGATTCAAGCCTATATATTTTATTAATGACATTTCTATTTGAAGAAATGTGCTATATATACTTCACTCCTATTTATGCAAATTTCTCAGTTATATACTTCGTATTAATCTTGTGAGTTTTTTTTTTTTGAAAGGAGAAATTATTCTTGTGAGTTATTATTTCCTCTTATAGTCTGATCTAGTTTTGTCTCCAACTAATAAAGAGCTATCATGAATTATATACCGTGAACACATTCGAATTGATCTGAGCTAGCTTGCTTTTCACTATAAAATTTACAAATAAATTAATTAAGCATCATCTTCATAGATCTATCTAATGGATCGTCCAGAAGGTTTTTCTATTTTCATAATTTCGGCAGTGATTTTTAGTTTGAGCTATATGAGAATGAATATGTTCACTGGCGGATTCCTCAGGAATCCGAACTATTGGGGGCAGACTATAAAATACCTAATAAAATATATCTGAATACCAGAAATTTTTAATAAAGTACATACATGAGAATTTCCAAACTAAATAAAATGTTTACAATAGTAAAAACACAAAAATAAATCATGACTACTTTCTTCGAGTTTGGATCTTTTGAAAGAAATTTATTATAGTTTCATTTGTGACGGTTTCAAGTGCATATCTTTCTATACAGCAAACAAGGAAAATACTTAAAAATTGATCACCAATTCTTGAAAAATTGAAATAGCATGTCGAGAAGTATTATTAGAAATTTTGTACATAAAATCTGATAAGAAATGTAATTATTTTTGATAACTAATATACTCTTTTGTCTCTTTATATATCTTAAACCTTCTACTAGAGTGGTATCCATGTTAAATTTATATTTTATATGGCTTTCTTAATTCTCAAATCGAAAATCTATATACCCGGTGTATAACTAATTGTAAATTTTAGATTGTTA